TGAAATATTCTGATCAACGCAATGTGTTGTGGAACATTCCGAGCGCAGAGCAGGTTAAAAGCCGAAAAAACTATTTGGCACAAGGATTGGAAGCGGCCTGGAAGATTGAGACGTTTGCAGACTTGTGCGAGTTATGCAGCACTCGGATGTGTGAGACAGCCGAAGACTTTTTCGGTAGGGGCCGTGGTAGTTACGAATTTGACATGCAGCATGACCAGGAGACCTTTCATTTGGAATCGCATGACTTCCAGAATGATACCATTGTGCTGAGCTGCTTTTCGCATTCGTTTCACGAGGATGGTAGGAGAAAGCAGAGTTTCGGACTTGTATTGACGTCTCGTAAGCTTTTACGGAATGTGGTATATGCTGTGCACGGGCAATCCAGAGACGGAGTATTTGTTGCAGCCGACGGAACGTACAGACTTCATTACGGTAGCTTCTGTTAATTGTATGCGTGCTAAGTCCAGTAATATCTAACGCTGTCGTTTGTATTTGAGTTGTTTAAAAGGTCATTGGACTTTGGTTGCTGTAGGAACGTACCGATGTCGGTACAACAAGCGGCGGTACATCAAAAATTTCGAGCCATGGGCGTATATGTTTGTGCGTACAGAGCATGAAGCTGCTTACACCAAACTTTTCCGGACGCTGGTTGACGTGACAAGGACATTTTTTGGAGCTGAGCTGACGGCGTGATTTGGCAGTTTGGATCATTCAGAGAGTATTGCGAATGTCTTTGTTGCGGTGTGGCCTCAGATCGTTCTTCTCGACTGCTACGCTCGCGTGGCTCGGAAATGCAGAGAAAACTCACATCGGTTAAACGAAAAGGCCTTTTCGAATCGAATGTGGAGGTGAATATTCAGCAAATGCATCATGCCAGATCACCGGAACAATTTGAGGCGATTTCAAAGTTGTGTCTGACGTATTGGCGTGAAAAGAAGGAAGTGCAGTATGTTGACTGGTTTAAGAAGGTTTATCTGGATAACCGGTGGCTCAATTGGTACACAACCTGCGCGATTCCAGGTATCCATCATTTTCAAAATGCGCTAGAGTCTCACAATGGAGTGATCAAGAAAGCGGGAATTACTATGAAACAGGCCAAGACAGGTGTGGTGCTGAACGACTCTATTCCAGGTATCCTGACTATGGCAGCTCAGAACGCTCCTGATAGGCCATTCGGCCATTGTTGCCAAGGTAAAAAGCAGAGTTGGAGTTTTGAGTAGCTGTTTCTAATATGTTCCGGTTTTGGCACGTCCTCTTCCAAGCATGATGGTCTCAAAGGCCCATCTACATGTCAAGGAAAATG